AACTGTCCTACCCGCGCCGGCATCAAGCAGCAGTCGACTGCGCACGGCGTGCCACCGCCATGTAGTGTGCACAGACCGCCGGCGGTGGCGGGGCGGGCGCAGCCGCCGCCGAATTGGCAAGCGGCTGGGATGCGCGTCGTGTGTTTGGTGCAGTAGTCGCCGATGCGGGCGGGCGTCGCGCAGTGTGGGTGCTTGCAGAGCTTCTTGCCGCCGTGGCTCACGCAGAGACGCCGCGCGTAGACTTGATTGAAGCAGTCGTCGACACTGCACTTGGAGCGGTACCGATGAAAGTGGCACTTGTTGCGCGACGGCAGCGACGGGTTGGTGCACCCGTCAAAGAGGCACGGCGTTGAAGTCGCCATTGTGGAAATGAAGTAGCAAGTCGACTCGGCCATGGAAAACGACCACGCGAGGTGTCCCATGCTCGCACCGAGCACACCAACACTCGGGTCTTAACCGTCCTGGCCTATGGGCATACAAAAATCCATTCCTACAAGTATTTCGCTCCTGGATCAGTTGTGCTCTTGGGTTGTGTGCTGCTAGTTTGTAAATCCTGCAATGTGGGACGCTCTTGGGATATCCCAATGTACCATGGACGTTCGTACAAGTACATTCCGTAATTGTACTACCTGCTTGTAACGAATGTACGTGTACGCTGCGTATTGTACGAGAAGGTATCGCTGTCCACTGGGTGCAACCCGTTGGGGTTGTTGCGTTGACACATTAGCGCCAAGCAGCAGTATCGTGTGTGCGTACTAACGATAATTCGACCTGTGGTACACGGAACAAGAGACGGTTCTACCGAGGGATGTCATTTATGACCCTAATGGAACGACGCGAAGACCGGATAATGATGCGCTCCGGAACCATTGCCGGCATGGCTACGTACACAAGTAAGCATTGATCTCTCGCTCGCACCACAACCCACGGTAGGCAAAAGGGATGAAATGTACTAGGTATTAGCATGAACGTTGCTGGGCACCCGATTCAAAATTTGAATGGGGTGAATGTTCAGACCAGTGAGTGTTGCCTGCGACCTGCTAGAATGCATACAGCTATAAGAAAAGTTCCATCGTAGATAATCTCCCCACGCAGAACCACCGTCGTGGCCCCGCAGACCAGCCCGCAGACCGCTAGCCGCCACAGGATCCTACTGCATTGTGACGTTCCAACAGCAATCGCCGAATGATGGTCACTTGTCGAGAAACCATCACTCGACATCCGAGTTCTGAAAGCTCGCAGTCAGCCAGACACGCGCCCCAGGTTGCCGACCGGTTGAACGCAACCGCAAGTTGAGCTCCAACCACAATGAGTCCAGAGCGATCGTGTGGTTAAGATTTGAACTGGCGACACAATACTGGCGTCTTGATCCTCCGCGTCGTACCTGGCCTTCTGGGATTGTTGTTGCGCAGCTGTGGGAGGTTCCGACCATGCCAGTTCCAGAGCCAATGTCTCACTCCATGATAACAAATCGTGCCACAGACCTTCTTGCTATGGCCACCGCAAGGCGAAACGAAAATGCTTGTATTCAGATTCCCTACGAGTCGAACCGATGGGGTGGCATGGCTTAGAACTCGCGGCGCGCAAACTTGGTCTCCGACATAAACTCGACGGCAACCGTTCGGTTGGCAAACCCGCGCCCGTGCAGCTCGTTGGACGCGTGCTGCGCGTGGACGACTTCGCCAAACTCGACAAAGATCTACCGCCACGCACTGAGCCGACCAAACCTCACCACAATAAGAAAGATGGTGTGTACCTTGCCGACCGAGGCCGTCTGGTACTGCGTCTCGCCGGGGCGCGGCACGACCATGGACCGGATCGGGCCCGACTTTTCACACTCGGCGCGAATGTCGTCGCAAATGTCCTGGTACTCGTCGTTGTCGGTGAGGTCCTCGGGCGTGACCATGTTGAGGAGCACGATGATGCGCGACGGCGCGCCCAAGGGCACACTCGGCACGATCTGCAGCGGCATCGCTTGGTGCTTTTGCAGCTGCTGCAAGATCGGATCCACGTTCAACAGGAGCGGGTTGGACGACGTCGCGGCTTGCATCATGGTCGTCGTCGTCACGCCCGGGTTGCCGAGCTGCTGCGGCGGCGCGTGCGGGTGGTC